TTGGTAGCAATATTTGATTAGTCCATTTTTATTTCTCATTAATAACCATTTTATTTTGTTTAATGTTATTTTATATTTGATTAATATTTATGTTCTTCTTTAACGTTAAGTGGGACCGGTCAATTCATGATAAGGTCAGCCGTTAAAGAATGAAACAAATTAAATTTTGTTGTCAATTCATGATAATGTCGTCTATAATTTAAAATTGATCCATTACTTAATTGAATTTAAAATATTAATTTTTTTTTGTTCTTTTTCGAACGAATAATGAAGTTATATTGCCTAATATATTAGAATTACTATATTTACGGAGCGTTTGGTTGGAAGGAAGGAATTATGGGGGAAAGGAATTGTAATTCGGTGGGAAAAGAATAAAGTGGAAATTTAAATTACATTGTTTGGTAGGAAGGAATAGGGTTATGGGGAATTGAGAGGGAAGAACTGAAGAAGTAAACAAATACTAAAATGCCCTTATATAATATTAATATAATAATGCTAATGAGGGTAAATTGGTAATTTATAATGAGATTGCAATTCCACAAAGCATGGAATTGCAATTCTTAGGGTGGAGGCATGAATTGTAATTCAACAAAAGGAAGGAATTGCAATTCAGCGGAATTGCAATTCCCTCAAACCAAACAATGCAATTTCAGTTTTCATTGAATTTCAATTCTTTTACAACCAAACTACATTGTACCAAACAGGCCATTAATATCCTTTTTTACTTTTACCCTTCCACCCTTCTACTGATTAAAAATAATAATAATATAATAGTATAAAACCTTCAAACAAATAGAACGTGGATATATATTAATTACTTAAATAAAATGACTAGTGATGTGGCAAGTCTATCAACATTGCAGTGGTGTGCAGCCCCCATGTTTCTCATAATTCCAGTAAGGACTAATCCACTACTGAGTTGGCAATAACTCCATCAATATCGTGATTATCATTGTTCGGTGCATTTTTATTTTGTGATTATTATTTTTGTTTATTATTGTTTTTTGAACAAATAATCTGTGCAAAACGTTACGTTGAACAAAACTTTAATAATAGAAGATTGATTAATCAACGCAAAAGAAGAAATTAAACCGACGCTACACCCATCACAAATCCATGTAGAAAATTCAGAAATCCGTCCATACTCAACTTCTGGCACCACCGGAGATTGTGCCGCCGACGGGGAACCGCGGATAGCCTGCCACCAACTTAGCTGCCCAACTGGTCCAGATTTCATCCCTTTCACGTTTATTTTTTGGGTGACAAGATAAAACTGTTATTATTATTTAAGGGTATGTACGACGTACTACATTGAGTAAAATTTGAATACACTGAAAAGTAAAAGATTATGTACGGTGGTGGTGATGAGCACCGGCGAGGGGGTTTGGTCCGATCGGCGAAGGAGTTCCGGCAGCGGAGACTGTCCTTTCCAATGAATTCGTCGACATGGCCGGGAGGGATTGTTTTACGGTGAGAGAGAGTGTTTACGGTGGAGAGAGAGACTCGATATCCTGACTGATACCAGATTAGAGAAGATCTTTCATTCAATTTCAACAAAAAGAGAATACAAGAGTATATAGGCTAATACAACTCTAACTTCTCATAACTAAAAGACTAGCTTAATCAAATAAGACTAACACCACAAAAATACAAACTATACTATAATAATATAATAAATTAATAATAACAAGATATAATAATAGTATTAACATAATCTAACTACCTGTGTTATATGCTGAGTGAACTTTACACATTGTGATTTTAATCAATCACAAAAAAATTAAATCAACTTAACTTGTTTATAACTCAAATAAAAAAAATTAATCCACCACTTCAACTAAAAGTGAACTTAAAATCTTATAATTCCAAATTTATAACCCAATCACCTAGACACCTACCATATTTGTGTAAAGGTAAGTTGGTTTTGTCATTGACCTGAGACTAGAATCCGATCCTCTAAAAAACTAGAAGCAAAATCAATTTATAAATAGAATAAAACTCAATCAGGCCACTTGAGATAAGCAAATCCCAACATTTATGGCATTATCCTTTTTCATAAACTCATAATACGCTTTCCAAATTTTTATGTTTGATTTTGTAGTCTACCTATAGTAATAATGTGGATTTTCTATCATCCTGCTTTAAAAATATATAATTTGTCGCTCTCAATATATTGATACAGTGGATGAAAACTGACAATTAAAACTTACTTTAAATAACAAAAACTTCGGAAAACTGGACTTAATTATACAAAAAAAAAAAAAAAAAAAAAAAAAAAGTCTAATGTCACATTAAGACTTATAAATTCATATGATAAGCACTCGCATACCATGCGAGAGGCATGGGAATCCCGAATCAAGTACCCGCATCCGGCATCTCCACTTTTTTTTGTTTTATCCCCGTTTGAAGGAGCTTCAATAAGAAAAATGTGGAGTTATAATAACAACAAAGGGGATGTAGCTCAGATGGTAGAGCGCTCACTTAGCATGCGAGAGGTACAGGGATCGATACCCCGCATCTCCATTTTTCTGGTTTGAAGAAGCTTCAATTAAAACTCGATTTGTAAGTGAAACAAAAAGGTAGTATTGGGCTGAACCATGAGCACAACATGAAAGGACAATCCCTCATTGGGCCTACATGTTTTTATAAATAAATAAATCTTACCTCTCCCATGCTTTTATTTTGCTTCTTCCAAATATAATATGATGCATGCATGTTAACTGTTATAAGTTATAGGCCTTATTACATAATTAACGATTTTAACTACCATATTTTATTAGTTATATATAGAGATATATTTAATAAAATTAATTGTTTAATATTAACAATTAACATTCAAAAATTTATAAGGATATATATATGTGTGTATGTACAATAATAATAATTAATAAATCTTCTTTATAATAATAAACCAATAATAACTAAATATCAAAATTAAAATTAATAAAAAATATAAAACAAAATTAATTAGATAAATCATTTAAAAATTTTAAATGGGGAGGTTTTAAATTCAAAACCTCCCCAATAGTCAGTTAAAAATTTTTAATATGTTATGTATAGGAGCATTTTGGAAAAAATTATATTCTTTTTTTTTTTTAATCGGTAATTGCAAACCTTAATCAAATTAGTGTTTTTTTTTTTTTTCCATATTTTTGAACCAACAAAACTAGTTACCAAACATGCATGTATATTAGTTGCTTGACTTAATCAAACAAGTAATGTGTGTCAAGTAGCTAAAAACTAATTTAAAACTTTATTTATTAAATAAGGTCATAATTTTTCACTAAATTAAATTTTAATTTGTTGGTACAGAGTAATAAATTTATACTCAGGTATATATTTCAATGCTTGAAGAGCGTTATGAATCACCTCCTTCATTCTTTGAGTAGGGGATCGGATAAGATGGATATTTTGAAGCAATATAGATTTTTTGTCAAATAAGAGAAACAAGATCGACTATAATATTAATTTTTAACATTCATTCATTTTAATCATATATTTGTATGCCAAGCTCAAAATGAACCCTAACTATTCTCATTTGTCAAGGACATTTCATGTAATACTTTCATGCATTGTCAATTCAACAATGTAATTACTAAATCCTAATTTACCACCCCCCCCCCCCCCCCCCCCCAAAAAAAAAAATTACTAATAATAATTATTTCAATCCTTATCACATGCAGCCCACACTACTTAAGGATCATATCGAATAAAGAAGTAATGTTTCATAGAAAACGGGAGCTCAACTAATTAGCTATTGAAATTAAAATATGCATTAATTTTTTTATTTTTTATTTTTATAAAAAAAAATACACGGTTTACTTGCTTTACAATAAATATGTATAATTGTGGCATAAACATGGCTAACAAAATAGTGAATATAAGTTTGAACTCTAAATTTAAGGGCCACGGCTAATAAAATAGTGAATATAAGTTTGAACTCTAAATTTAAGGGTCTATGCGCTAGATACTAGTGGAGGGAGAAAATCTTGGACATGTCCCTAAATGCTTGTACACTAGTACCCACAACAAGGATGAATCTATGCCTCAATTTTTTTATTTTTTTTTCTCATTGGTAGGATTCAAATCTTGTTTTTTACCGTTGCTAACGAAGCAAAATTTATGAATTTTTGTTGGATTGATTGACCAATATTATACAGGTATAATTCAGTGATCATTATTATGACCAAAACATAAAAACATGACAATAAATTGAATTCATGACATATACGGGTGATCTCCAATATATGTAATTTGAGTGTCGAGAAAATTTTGTAGCCATTATCCGAGGGTTTGCATTGGATAAACTCTTTTCATGTATAATAGCTCATAAATCACATAAGAAAGATAAATTACACTAAAAAGAGTATATGTGGTGGACTCAACCAAAACCAAGATATACTATTTCATGGATCAAGTTGCTCACTATTACATGTAATGACAATGTAGCATAGTTAAATTAAAATATCAAATTATAACATTGCCCAAATTCATAAACCACCATATTTATTATTACTCTTATCCATTCATTGGTTCTATTTTACTTGTCTTGTTTTCCTTTTTAGTTTGTCCCAAAATAGTATCCTCTTTCTAAAATTGAACCTAACAATCATTGTACATTTCTCAATTTACCTTTTTACCATTTCAAATTTCTGGACAATTAATTATGTAACAAGTTTTCAAAAAAAAAATAAAAAATTATGTAAACACAATTGCACTTTGTACAAATAACACTTACTTTTGAGGAGCAAAATTGAAAAGTTAGTAACATTTGTTATGTTGTATTAAAAGCGTGCATAAAGCTAATGAGACAAGCAATTAGGGGCAGAGGGAGTATATATTATTTTAATTGCAATTACAATTGACCTTGAGATATCTATCTTATATGCTGGAAAAGAACAATCAAAGCACTGAAACGATAAACATAAATAAATAAATCGTCCTAGAATAATATTGCCTGGAAACAACAATATTAATGTATATTGCAGGATTAAGGACGCAGTTAACGTAAAATAGATACTCCGTATTAAAACATGCAATTAACCTAGAAAACAAGGCAAATTAATTAACAGATGGAGCCGTCCATGCATGCCAGATTACACAAATCAAATCAATCGCAAAACAAAAGGGTGGTATTTCTGGAAGATAGAAGAGATGCAAATTCATCATGTCATCAGGTTGATGATGATCGGAGCTTCCCACCTCAGACCTTAATTACTCGCCGAACATGAAATCAGATGAGATGAAGCATGCATGCATGCATATGCCCCCCTACTAACAACCTTAAAACAGTTTGGGACGACGATGTCTGGGGATTGGATTATGTTAATCAGATCAAACTATGGACCCAAGCGGTAAGGGGCGTCTCCCATGTAGTGTCCGTCCATGTACAGCGCTGCGGCGGCGTTTTGGTGGTGATGGAGACCATCCATCACCATAAACTGCATGTCTTCTGATGGCTTCCAGTGCCGTTTTCTCTGGTTGATGAACCAGTTGTTTATTTGCTTCTGATCTAGCCCGGTCGCTTCCGCCAACGCCACCTTCTCCGTTTCCTGCATAACATATATAAATAATAAACGTACAGTCCCAAAACGCCTCCCTTCAGGGTTCAGGAAACAAGAATATGTTGACCCCGCATTATAACCCTAGCCAACAGATCAGACTCAATTGGAGTTACCAAGTGAACAGTCTGATCTTGTGTTATATGGTACTATAATTAAGGGGAAAGTGAATATAATGTGGTATAGTACCGAAGGATAAGGCCATTTGTAGTGCAGCTCCCACCAGCTAAGCAACTTCTGCCTGGCGTCTTTGGGCAGTTTGCCTTTCTTCTTTTTCTTGGAAAGTTCTTGTTTCAGGCTACTTAAATACCCACTGTACTTCTTTAACAAGTGGTTCTTCAACTCCCGGTCTTGCACCCGGGGATCTATCTCCCGGAGTTCGGTGTCTCCACCACTATTGTCTTGCTCCTCTTCCGACGAACCAACGCCCTCGCACTTATTGTCATCTGTCAATTTCCATTACGTAATTTATTAGAAAGAGTTCAAACTCGTGTGCATGTATGTATGTGACTCGATCGATCTCCTAATTCAACTGTTTAAGTGTTATAACTCACATATCTGTGTATGTGCTAATGCTCTTGGGAGCAGACAAGAACTTTATTCTTTTAACTCAAGGATTACCATATATATATATTACTCCAACATTATTCCAAGAAAGAGCATGATTAATTAATAATAATGTCTACTGTTCCTAACACTAAACAACGTGAACAAGTACATTATATTGCAGCTTTACAAAATTTACTTAATTACTAGTAGCTAGCAGGCGACTGGCAACCAAGTACAGCATCAAATTTGGAAACTAATCTAAAAAGAATTTCCACTAACTACACCATCAAAATTAGCAACACTTGCTAAAATAAACAAAATATTGTTGTGTCACCGACTCACCGCAAGAAGTAAACCAGCTAGCTTAAGTTGTCCATAACTAACTGTCTCAAACTAAAAAAGTAAATACACAATCCTCACGAAGGGTCAAAATTAGAATCTTATAGTTACTAAGTTAATTGTACGTTTGACCAACTTGGATGGTTGCCCCTGGTGTATTACTACTAGGCAAATACAAAACTACAAGGTTAACTCCTGTGCTGCAACTAAGTTATGGATTCAAATAATGGATTTTGAAGAATCTGGATGTGAATCCAAACACAGACAACTTTTTTGTGACAAAACAAGAAGCTGCAGCAAATATCATGGAGTATCAGAATTTTAGTGTAGCAAACATTATTGTATTTCCACTGGAGTGTCAACTTTATCTCCATCCATCCCCTCTGTGTGCATTGTACCAAAAGATGAAAAGGAAAACAAAACTGGGTCTTCCAGATTTAAGGGAAAAAGAAAATATTTGGGTTTCTGAAACTTAAAGAATACTATTAAAAAAAAAAAAAGAAAAAAAAAAAAAAAAAAGAAAAAAAAAAAAAAAAAAAAAGAAAAAAGAACAAGAATGAACCATGCAAAGCTAGATGTTTCATTAAGGTCTGCTAAACTACAAATGAAGCTAAAACATGGTACTAATATATGATAATACGGAGTATAACGTAAATAATGTAGTAAATTAAAGTTGCAGAAAATAAGCAAAAAGGAAATAATGAAAAATCTGACATTTGGGTACAGGTAGGCTACATGGGAGAGCACTGATATGAACAGCATCCTATCCTATATATTCATTTTTCCAACGCCTAAAACCTACCAAATGCTCTCTCTACCATTACTACCTTTAACCCCACCTGGAAATGACAAGAATGACTGTTTTAGTGTTTTACCAAGAACAAATGCAGATTTTTTGAAGTTTTTTATAAATTAAAAAAAAAAAAAAAAAAAAAAAAAAAAAACAAAGCAAAAAACAAAAAATTCTGACTACATTATGTCGGGTGAATCTCTGGAAGGGATTGTAGTGTCCGTATATGCGTGCTTTGTACTTCAGTCTGTCCAATGTTTAATATTTAAAAAAAAATATATATGTTCATACATATACACCATCCTAAGATCTATGCGTTTGTTCCCATTGTTTAATGCATGATATGATGATGGCATCAAACAGGTGATTAGGGTTTAGTTAATGCAAACATTTATTCTGCTACATATAGGCCTGGGTGTACCAGAATGATGAAGCTAAGAGCCCAGAAAAGCCTATTTTGGAGGAATGAGAATGTTGTTGTTCTTGGGTCAAACTCTCAAATTAAGAATGGAAATGGGAACTGGAGATTGGATGGGACATTATTGCAAGAACAAACACTTTTTGCACTGCACAAGAAAGTTGAAATTACATACACCATTTCAATTATACATATATTATATATATATGTATGACAAGATGCATCTCTGCAACACTTACTGTAATTTGGGACTTGAACCAACAGGACTATTTTATTCTTCTGTGCTTTATTTCCTTGCAAGGCAATTACTATGTTCAATATAAATAATTAGTTTATTAAATTGAAAAATTTTAAATTCTTCTTAATAAATAGTAAAATATATAGAAGAAGGTAAAGTAGAAGGACCCAAAATTAAATTTTAAATTAAAAAATAGAGAAAAAAAAAAAAAAAGGTACGTACCGGAGTTGAAGATCCGGACCGGAGCGTCGCTTAGCATGTTTAGCTGCGATTCGATCCGTCGCATGAACTCCATTGCTTCTTGGAAAGGCCTTGTAAGCTCGTCTCGGTACTTCATCAGCATATCATAGTACGCTTCCTGGTAAAAATTATGTTAAAAATCCGATGAAGAATTCTTAGAGAATCGAAACTAGAACACCCTGCACCAAAATTATTGTGGTTAATTAAACTAACGGACCATGAATTGATCGAGTTCTGGGTCTTTGGAGGAATCTCGGGAACCGAAAGAAGCTCGCTGCTTCCCTTCCAGTTCTTGCCGGACCGCCGAGAGACGCGCCACCACCTCCGGCGGAGCTCCGACCTTTTGGCAATCCATGTAAGCTTCCAGAAGATTGGAATACTGGGGATGAGCGATGATCTTGGCCTTCATAGCATCGGCTTCACTTGTCAAAGAGTTGTCGTCACCTGCGGATTCTTGCTGACGATGAAGATGATCTCGGATCATCAAAGGGTACTGAAACATTTGATGGTGATGATGATGATGATGGGAAGCGCTTCCGCCTTCACTCTTCACCGTCGTGTGCGGCTGCCCTTCCGATTGGCCGTAACACTCGCCACCGCCACCAGGCTGGAGATGAAAGCCAGTAGCTATGTGGTTGCTTTCACCGCCGCCGCCGGTTCGCCCGTAACTCGGCGGCCCAAGAACCGAGCCGCCGTACATGAACCCGCTTCCGCTTCCCCTTTGCCTCGCAGCGGCGGCGGTTTCCTCTCCAAGTTGACCGTAATTCTCCATTTCTTACCTCACCAACAACCCTAAATCAAGAACCCAGGCCAGTAGTGTAAGAACTGCAACCAGAAAATAACGAAACCCTAAGGTAACAAATTAAAACAATCCACCTTTTCTTGTCTTCAACTACCCATTAATTATCTCCGATCCTTTCTCAGGGATAAGAAACGCAGAATTCACGATTTCACTACAGTTACTGGTTATGGAGGTCGCGAGACCAAGCTGAATTGAAGTGAGTTTGGCATATTAAAATGAAACTTTATCGCACAAAAACAAGTTTTAATTTGGTCGGAGAAGACTGAAGAGCAGCAGATCGAAGAAAGAGAAAGCTATGGAGGCGGAGTCGTTAGCGACGGCTACTGGCCGCGCCGGGAACGGCTGCGGTAGATACAAAATGTGCTGTAGTCGGGCAATAAAGAAATTAGAATTGTACTAACTACAAAGCTATATTGTGTGTATATATTAAGAAAAAAAAAAACTTTTTTCTTTATAAACAGTGTTTTAACTATTTTTCATATAATACTACATACACTCCTAAAATTTAATTTCACTCTTTATTTCTTTACACAAATTTTTTGTGGAAACATCTTTTTTGTAAACTACAGAGTAAAGATAACATATCATTGTTTGTCATACCAGATAATAAAAGTAAGAAAGTAGGAATTAAAAGTCTTATTTTTCTTTTTTTTTTTTTTTGTTTTCGTTATATTAATCTGGACAGGGCATTTTCAAAAACAAATAAAAAAAATGGACAGGGCAGTTAGTTTAACGGTAGATATTTCAATTGATGTTCCTCTTCTATCACTAATGTATAATATCATTAATGATTAGTTACAATTATAAAAGACAACATAATAAATACATCGTACTGTTAAATAGTTGAATAAAGACATTTTGTGTGGTGTGATATGTCTAGTTGGGATTATTGAATTTTTCAAGATCATTTTTTGCTTCCATTTTTCATTATTCCAAAAGGCTGAATCCCAACCCTAAGGGCCCCCCACACCCCGGCCCGACAGAGCATTTGGTAGGATGTAAATCATGGTGACTCAATCGAACATTTTTCATATTATTACTCTACGGAGTCCACTCCTTATATAAAATAGTGTATATGCACTTACTATCCGAGAGTAGATACAAAATAAACCTTGCCTTGTAGCTTTTTGTGTCTACTCTCGGATAGTTACTGCATGCACACTATTTAATATATATGAGGTCTTGAATAGTACTTTATATGAAGTGTTGTAAATATAAATATTATTTTAAGTTTAGGTATTTGATTAAATGTATTCGGAAAATGATAAGAGAGAAAAATCTCCTAAATTAACTTTATGAAAAATATTGAGGAGAGAGAAGAATTTCATGGCTTAACTTTTCAGAAGATTTACTAGAAGTAATCATATGAGAACAAGTCCCTAATAGAAAACTAAGAATCAATCTCACTTTACATATGGAAAAATCATACGAATCGTATTAGATTTTAAAAAAAAAAATGCGGTGATATTTTTGTAATTATCACCAACTTTACTATCCAAACGTGAACACTAAAATCCACACTTCTTAAAATTTTTCAGGTTTGCACATTTAGTATTAAAAGACTGCATTTGCACAAATACGAAAGTATATACTCCGTATTAGTCATACCATAATGATTATCGAAATTAATAATTATATTTTAATTAGTATATTACGATGATTTGATTACAACTATGAATTGTCAAATTTTAATGGTCATATTAGACTAACGTTCTCATATTTTTCATGGGAGCGGGATCTCCTATATATATGTGCGTGTATATGTGTCGCGTAGATAAATATGTAAGTCACGATTGATGAGAATAATCGGTGGGTGAAATTAAACCATTAGAAAGGAATGTAAATAAAGTAAGAAATGATGAATGCAAAGTTTTCAAAGTTCTATTCTTAATTATATACCTAATTAATTAGTTTATAGAGAAGCATTGAACTATAAACAGGGTTTGGATAAGCTAAGCTAATATGTGCGTGGGAATAGGGTTGCCACGATGGCCTATAGTTCCCCTTATAGGTGGTGGCAAATGGTAGCTAGGTTCAAGGGTTTTCAATGGATAACTTTGATCGAAGAAAACTTTTTTAACTTGGCTTGACTATAAATAGAAAATATAGGGTAAGTAAAAATAAAATTTAAATAACTTTTTTGTTCTAACTATCTCAATCTTGATAAATCATAATCTTGATATTTCTTATATTTAAATTCAAGACCTTTGAATAAGCCGAAAGAACATGTGTTATCTTATCCACATATCAAAAATTACATTTTAAATTATTTGTCGTAGCGACAATTTATCCAAAGAACATGTTATATTTTGCATTAAAAAATGCTTATTGAAATGGAAACTTTGGTAAATCCATTTTTTGTATGTTCTAAAATCATTTTTAATATACTTCTAAAACATGTATTATAGTGTAATATAATTTGTTTGAGGAATAACTCCATCAATATCAATATTACTGGATTATTAAAATAAAATTATTCTAGTTTTCATATGTAATTAATTAGTTAACAATTCCAAATACACACAACTAAGCATACATAATTATATCAACTATAACGTGACCCTAATGTATGATTACTCCGTATTATCTAAGAGAACACATAATACATTTATAGTATGTACTGCAAGAAAAATATGATATAACATACATGTCATTTTTGTTGTATAGAATTAGGTCATACAAGTCACAAGAATGAATGTTGTTAGAGTATACGTACAAGTGAGATTTATCGTAAGACAAAATTAACTTAACACAATGTTTGTGTAAAAACAAGTAAAATGTAAGACAATTGGATATTAGCAGGGACGGAGCCAAAGGGGCAAGGGGCAGTTGTCCCCCTCACCCCACCCTATGATGAGTGGTGGTAGGGTTGGGCAACCTATTAGTGCCAACTAAGCTAGTACTAATTAAAACGTAAAAGTGCTGTGTGAACATCCCATCTCATCTCTAGCAATTAGCAAATGCATCATGTAACAAAATCAAAAACCATTTTGATAACTATTTTGGTTTTTAATTTATTTAATTTTTAACATGTGATCATTGATTATTAATAATATTTTGCTTGCACTTAATATAATTTCAATATAATTAAGAACTATATAATTAAAAATAAGTCATGGTAGGATAAATTAGATCAGAGCTTCGGAGAACGCTAAGGTATAATAGAGAAAGTCGTACTTGGACTATTGGGTACAAAGCTTGAGACCTTGAGTGAGATAAGGGTAGTGATGTGAATATATGATGCCACTTTGAGTGAGATTAGAAGAGCTATTTATACTTATGTTAAAACGGTCCACTACAGCACTTTCAAGTCTCTTCTTTTGATTAGTAAATTAATCCAGTTGTGCCTAGCCTCGAGTTGTGCCTTTCTCCTCTTTCGCACACAACCTTCTTCAACCAACATAATCGAGTAGGTATTAGTCATCAACGTCAAATATTAAGATTCAACTTCAATTTATACAATAACATGGAGTAATATTTATGTTCAAATGATGTTCACTACTAATGATTTGGCATGCCAATGAATAGTACCTCACATAGTCACATCTATCCTCGTAAAATATAAATGTAAAAATGACCTCCGAACAAATGAACAACTAATTCCAAATTGGAGGCCTGACGCTCATTTCCAAAGGTGTAAATGTAACATTTTATCATTATCTATTTGAAAAGTGAAAATTCATAGCCGCCTACACCAGAGGCCACTCACTATCTCAATCAACTCCTTTGGATCTTATTGCTCCCTCTCCATGTACTATGTTTGTGGCATACACTAGAGGGCACTCCTTCTCTAGCCACTATGTCAATGTCCTACACTAGAGGGCACTCTCTATCTCGATTTTTTTGAATCTTGTTACTCATTCTCTAGCTACTATTTGATCTCTCATTTTGAATAATTTTCACTTTATAACACACCAAATACCCTATTTCTAAGTTGCATATTTTTGTCATCTCTCAATGAGAGAGCACCTATGTTATGCATTATAAACCTAACTTCACCACTAAAATCAGTTCAAGAGTGAAAAAAATTTTCAAACTTAAATACAACTCTCGTATTCCTTAAATTGTATGTGTAAAACCGTATCCACAAGATTATACTCAAACTTTTATAGTATTTTCATATATTTTTTTTCCATTTATATATATAAAAGAAAAAAAATAAAATTACTCTTAATTCCTTTAACATTGAACAGTAAAAATCTCTGCTAGTCATTACTTCTACTGTTAGTGACAACCCCTGGTTGCAGAAAACCACGTGCACAGCTTCGCACAATTAATAAACTCCGACGACTTTCAGACAGAGCGAGCGATTCGTATTCGTATTTCGTTTGAGAAGATCGAGATCGGCGATAACGACAAGAATGACACATGTAAGAATTGCGTAGAGTTGGGGCCTCCATACGAGTGCGCCTGCGCTTCGCAATCCTCATCCGTGCCGTCGTGGCTGGCGGCGAGGACGACGTTGTCGAGCACGCCGCCCATTAATGGCGGACGGGACCGAGAGTGCGTCCACGAAAACGACGTGTGCATCCTCGAGCAGCGGATTATTAGGGTTAAAGAGTGATTGGGGAGGAAGGAGTTAAAAATACAAAGGGCAGTTGTCGAGTAATCCGTCCATCCATCATCGTGCTTTTGTAATTCAGATCTGACGGATGAAATGAGTGAGTGAGATACTGGGACCCACCCGAGAGAGAGAGCCCGGAACTCCCGCGCTACAAAGCAGGGCGTGGGGCCCGCCTTCATCTCCAGTGTTTGAAGATGGAGATTGGAGGGGGCCCCAGTCAAACTCTCAGCTGCCCTGCCTGCCAGTCTTCCGCTGCCTAACTTTTGCACCAACTGCTTTTCTTGGAAAATATCACATGTACTCCCATTATCTTCACTTAACTTTTACTCACACACTTAAAATATTGATACTAATGTAGACACTTTTATAGGAACCCACATAAAAAAATAATAATTTATCAAAATTCGCCACATCAACCAGTAAAATTTGAGAGTCCATGTAGTAAAACTTGCTTTCTTTTTCTTTTATTTCTTTGTTTAAATAAAATAATATTCCGTATTCGAAACTCGAGTGTATATTCATATAACTCATTAATACTTCTCCCAAAATGTTAAATCTTAACCCTCAATACTATTCTGTTCTAGAGAGACCATATTAAAGAGACAAAATTTCTTTAATTAACATATTTTCAAGAACAAATTAATTATTAGAATGTATGTATTATTGTTTTAGAGTTCTATTATATGTACTTTCAAATCTTATTTCCTTAATTTTATTTTATGATATGGCGGGTTTTGATAAGCTATTTTTTTTTTAATATGAACTCGAATATTGTTTACAAAATTTTGTATGTATGTAAGAATAAAAATTGAGAGTATAAAATGAGGGCCCGTA